TATAAAGCCTAAAATTTGTATACGAGAGAAGTATGTTTTACCTTTGTATTTACCTCGACGGTAACATATTATTGTTACTCATAGTGGTTTCCAATATCACTTCGCTAAATCTTTTTGATACCTTTAAATACTGAGATAAAAATTAATTTGATCATTTTACTGGATTTACATTATAATCTAATGTTAAATTGTAGGCTTTACATATCTTCTTCACTCACACACACTGTTGTTATTAATTGCTTTACATAACCTGATATTGTATTCATTCTTATTGCGTCATCATATTTATCCACTGTTCACATTTCTACACGGAACGAAGCCTTAAATTTCATATACATACAATTCGTTGAAAAGAAATCCTTTCATTAAACTTCGAATTTTTAATGAACATAGGTATACAGTCGCATTAATAATGAGTAGTGAACTAACTGAATACTCCATATTGAAGGAGAGATTTAAAGGAGTCAGCATTTATATTGCCATTCCTAAGTTCTAATAATATTTCGGCTGGTATTATAATTTCATCTAGAATTCTTTCAACCAAATTTTGTGTTGTACAGACATTTTACCAAAAACATCACTAATTCAACATTTTAAATAATTTTACTAAAATAAACTATTGTGTTAGATATCCTGACTAGTTCATTGATGATTATATTGTATATCCAACGTACTACAAGGGTATATATATTAAAAAAATATCAAATGTTTGCTATTAATTTGCTTGTGATTCATAATTAAGACAATGCGTATGTGACATTATGCTTACTAATTAGGTGAAATTTAATACAAAGTATGGATAATTTCTGTTATAGTAAGATTATTGTTAAGTATTAGGTCGGAATAGTTAAACTCCTGAATGTAGTTTGAATGTGTTAATTGCAAATATTATTTGATTGTAACAGTTTCTGTTTTTGATTATCTTACTCCACCAAACATTTTGTTTGAAAGATTAGTTTGAATGTAATATTATTTGTATTTAGCTAGTTGAAGATAATTTGACTGAATAAATTAAAATGTACATATCACCCGTAAAACAATTTTAATGTCCTATCTTTTAGGGTCTCAATTCCCTCTCATTGTTTCTTTTGATGCAACATTGTGTTATTTTTCCGATGTTTACTTGTGTTATAATGTTCAGATAGGTAATAACTTCAACTGCTGAACTCTTATATGAGATTGCATGTCTGTCAGTAACTTGATCTTAATCATAAACCAAAGTTGTTGGTATAATATATGATTTCTAAAATTACTTAAATATATTTATATTGTCTTCACTGAACAAATGAAGGAAGTCCGTTCTGTACCATTTTATGCGTTACTGTAAGCTTCACTAATGTTTTTCGCTATCGCATACAACAATGCCCATGGCACGCACGTATTAATTTCCTACAAATATTTTTACAATTCTAAATTGTTTGATGTGTGAAACTTCCGTTGAGGTATATCTGACAAATTAGCTTATAGTAAAATAAATACTTAACTGTTAAATAAAACTCACGAATACTTTTGTAATTTAATCTCTTTTATCGAATTTCTCAATTATGGTTATGTGCTATTAATTCCCTGAATTTTACTTTTATATTAAATTGCAAAGGTGACAGCATTTATTTACACACTTGATTTACAATTTGTGCTACTCATAGTGGTCTACGAAGGTTATGATGAATGCGAAGTTAAACATTAAATCAATCTTGTAATAATTTTTATAAATTAATACATTGTCCATTTCACATAAACTATGACTGACTTTAGATCACTTACTTTATCATGTTGAGCATTATTGTCAGTTTATAACTTTTTTGTTTTCGTTTTTTTGTTTATAAACTGAAATTATTGTGAAGTTAATTGTTTTTAAATCTGTTTCATCGGATCGGAACTTAATGTCCTATTGTAAGTATATGGCTATGGAGATTGTCGGTTTTCATAAAAAAGTATGAACCGATCAATGCAAGACCAACATTTAAAACCTGAAAGCACTAGAGTGCTACTTCGACCTAGTACGGGACTGTTCAACCTTGCACATCCACTATTCTGCACACAGGAATCGAGTCCAGGGCATTCAGTTTTGCGCACGAACATTGTGGTAGCGCAATTTCATGGATTGATTGAAGTTAGAGATTATTACCTTTGGATCCCGGCTCAATGGTTTAGAGGTCAAGCATCCTCACGCGAGACTAAATGTCCTGAGTTCTACTCCAACATGAGGGGTCGTGAATGCTGACTGTTGAAGAGTCCCATACTAGGACGGAACGGTCCTTCAATGCTTCCAGGTCCTAAATGTTTGTCTTACATAGATCGATCCATAATTTTAATGTCTAACATTTGTTAAAAAATCATATACTTGAGGGTCCCTGAATAACAAGGTAACCTATAGTCAAGACATATCACTTGATTTAAAGTTCACGAATGCTGTTAGTTTTATTTTTCCACTGTTGGGAGTATTATCCATATGCATAACAACTTATCTGATATGATAATTCTTTCTTTAGGTCGTTGGTTTCGTTTATTTCAGTTCACACATTTGAAAAGTCATGCTCAGTTTTCATGATATTCACAAAAGTATTTCTAATTTTGTTTTTTTCCGATGGTCCATGTAGATTGGTAACAAATAGTTAGTCAAACTCTTGTTGAGTTAATTCAAGTTTATATTTATTTGGACTGCCCTTTTTTGTATCTGTTCACTTTATATATATATATATATATATATATATATATATATATATATATATATATATGACCTTAAATTTACCATGACCTCAAATGACATTCAGATTTTAAATAATGAAAGGTTAGTTTTAAAATCGGGCATTTTATTAATTCGCTCTTTTGAATATTAGACTAGAATATTGAATTTATGGTTAGTATATGGGGTGCAAATCGATTCGAAATGGATTTTGTGTAATATTGGAGTACCTGATTGTTTTTAGTTAAATGGTATAGAATATGCATTTTTATTTTGTACTACTATAACAGACCAATACAACATCGCGATCTCTATGGGGTATTTTGTGATATGAGCTGAATAAGGGATCGGGAATGTCTATGTCATAATTGTGTTGCAATGAATTCAGTAATTGTATGGCTGTAAGTGTTAGTGGGTTTAACTATTAGACCAAAAACAGGCATTCCCAACTTCTGTATTCAAAAATGGAAGGCAAGACTTCTTTTATGAATGGCAATTTCGATAAATACTAAGACAGATTTTGTTTAACTGACTGACTGACTTAGCTGTATGGATCTAACTCAAAGTTTAATCTTTAAGCTATGACGAAATAACTACCCAGCGTACAAGCTAAGAAGTTTTACTGGAATTGAGAACATATTTTTGTTTGGTTTTATCATGTAATACATCGGCTTTCATGTTTCAACTGAGATAAGTTTCCAGTAAGTAGTGTTTAAGCATCAGAGTTAATTTATTTGAGTTGATCAGTATATGTTTAGTGTACGAGAATTCAGACAGAGAAAAAGCAATTTATTGTTTAACGCAAAATCACAGAGTGCTTTGGTAAAATATGAAAACCACACATTCAATACATTATTTACACATCTCCCGTCAGTTGTCCTTTGCAAGCTTCATGATTCTTTCAGTTCTATTTTTATTACAATTACTTGCTGTTTCCTTTCCTTCTGGCATGTATTCCACATCTGATTGCTATCGCACACTACTTATATCTGTTAGTATAAGTAGTATTCATCACACATATTTTTGTTAGATATGATAATATAGCCTACAAAAGGTACTGAGTAATGTAGGAAATCCGTGTACTGAATTTTGTTGCTTTTCATTACCCGACGCTACTTTATTGAAAATTGTTTACACGTGTGAATACTTCGACATTAGGATGTATCCTCAACAACCTTGCAAGGAACTAATCTATACAACAAATTCAATTAAAGCAAAAGTTAATGAACTGACAAAAAATTCTGTTATATTGAAATGTTAAGAAAAGCTTAATCATATGTCCCACGTGGTTTTCATAGGCCATACAAATAACAGTCGAGTTAATCAGACTTTGTCATTAAATAGCAGTAAATAGATAAAAGATTATCATACCTTTAGAACTTCTGTCTTGCAATCCAAAAATATAATAACTGACGTTTACCATTTTGACTTTTGTGTATGCGTTTACATCATGTTTCATAATAAAGTAGTGACCACATTAGCAAAGGCAGTAAAATAATTCAAATTTGTGAATCATATGAAAGTTCCAACCTTCTTGTCTCATCAAAGACACTCATTCACCTGTAACCATTTGTAAAACAAATACTTTTATTGCTTTTAGGAAGACTTCACTGATTCCTATTTATTCCTAAGTATATAGATTCTCGAAAAGAACATATCACAATACTTAGGCCTCTTCTCAAGATATTGATAAAACTTTGTTATATTTTAAAGTAATCATAGTTAAACCATATCAAAAAAGGGTTGGAAGCAAATTAAAGTATAGATGAATTTCTCCTTTAAATTTGACTATTGGACGATAAAAAGAAGTCTTTTTGTCTAGTTTCTGGTTGTTTGACTTTTTCTTCTAATTTCAAATGAATCAGTTAGCTTATCAATCGCTTAAACAATAATTTTCAGTGTTAGTAGTAGAATACGGAACATTTTGATTTCGCAGTTTATATAGATAAAGTTAATTTAAATGCATCCACTCTTTGTAATCAAGTGTTTCCAATCAATGATCTCATCACACTGAGTATTTTCTGATGTATTAACAGTAACCGTTGTGTTTTGAGATGTTATTCTTTGTTGTTGTATATGATAATTGGTTTATAAGCTTTGAAAGTAATCTTGAACAAATATTTCATACTCTGTAAATATTGATGTGTTGATGTCGTTGCTATTTGTCATGTACATACATGAAATTATGTTGCTAAACCATATGTTTTTAGTGTTTCCATATGTTGTAATTTACTTTAAATATTTATTTGTATTTGCCAGCATGTTAAATAAATTGCAAATAAGTCCCATCTGTTTTGATGTTATTTATTTGCAGATCGAGTAGGATATATTGGTGCACGTCGACACAGTGGTAAGTTGGATTTTTTTAAAAAGAATTTTGTCTTGTCCGTATCCACTTTTTCTGAAACACGACTATCTTACTGACCCTAATTAGGCTTTCGCCATCTTGATTAGTATACCTTCTAGATGACGTCTATCACCTAAAAACATTATATCATGGTTTTAACAACAGCTGAAGTAGTTGGGTTTTATGAATTAATGTAGTACATGCCGGCGTAACACGATTAAAATACCGAAATATCTGATGGTTAGTTGCTATTTTTGGACTGGAAAGAAGGACACCTCATCAAGATTCCAAAGAAAGGAGATCTAAGCAAATGTGAAAACTACAGAGGCATTACACTACTGTCAATACCAGGGAAAGTCATCAACACAGTGTTGCTGAACCGGATGAAGGATGCAGTAGACGCCCAACTTCGAGATCAACAAGCTGGATTCCGTAAGGATCGGTCGTGCACAGACCAAATTGCAACACTACGGATCATCGTCGAACAATCAGTTGAGTGGAACTCGTCACTATACATCAACTCTATTGATTATGAAAAAGCATTCGACAGTGTAGATAGGAGGACATTATGGAAACTTCTTCGTCACTACGGAGTTCCTGAGAAGATTGTCAATATTATCCGGAACTCATACGACGGACTACAGTGCAAAGTAGTGCATGGAGGACAGCTGACAGATGCATTCCAAGTAAGGAGCGGAGTCAGACAAGGCTGTCAACTCTCTCCCTTCCTCTTTCTTCTAGTGGTCGACTGGATTATGAAGACCTCGACATCTGAGGGAAAACACGGCATACAATCGACAGCTCAGAACCAATTAGACGATTGGGACTTCGCAGATGACCTAACCCTCCTGTCGCATACACATGAACAAATGCAGATAAAGACAGCCAGTGTAGCAGCAGTCTCTGCATCAGTAGGCCTCAACATACACAAGGGGAAAACCAAAGTCCTCAAATTCAAAGCGAAAAACAGCAATCCAATTACTCTTGATGGCGAAACTCTGGAAGATGTAGAGTCCTTCACATACCTAGGAAGCATCGTCGATGAACAAGGAGGTTCAGATGCAGACGTGAAGGCGAGGATTAGCAAAGCAAGGGCCGCATTCCTACAATTGAAGAACATATGGAACTCAAAACAAATTTCAACCAATATCAAAGTGAGAATCTTCAATACGAACGTCAAGGCAGTTCTACTGTATGGAGCTGAAACTTTGAGAACTACAACAACCACAATCAAGAAAGTACAAGTATTTATAAATAGCTGCCTACGCAAGATACTCAACATCCATTGGCCGGATACCATCAGCAATAGCCTTCTGTGGGAGAGAACAAACCAACTTCCAGCTGAAGAAGAAATTTGGAAAAGACGATGGAAATGGATAGGACATACATCACGCAAATCATCAAACTGCATCACGAGGCAAGCTCTAACTTGGAATCCTGAAGGAAAGCGGAAAAGAGGAAGGTCAAAGAACACATTACGTCGGGAAATGGAAGCAGATATGAAAAGGATGAATAACAACTGAAAGGAGCTGGAAAGGATTGCCCAGGACAGGGATGGATGGAGAATGCTGGTGAGTGGCCTATGCTCCTTCACGAGGAGTAACAGGCGTAAGTAAGTAAGTTGCTATTTTACTAAAGTACCACATCAGCAAATTGCTCATTCAAATTTGGAAGATTTTAGGGGATAAAATCACTGACAAGCTAGTTGAAAACTAAACTTTTCATTATTATGAAATTATTCAACCAAGATGGGAATATTTTATTAATATTTCATCAATTCATGAATAATCGTTCAATCAAATAAAAGAACTTATGAATCAATAGTTTTGATTGTCATATGTTAGTTCATGTTTAACATCCCTTAATCAAGTTATGAAACCAAACTTTATATATATATATATATATATATATATATATATATATATATGTAAGGGGAGTAAGTATAAACAGTGGACTTCTATGTTCGTTAAAATAAGTCGCAACCAAAGTTAGGATTTTGATCTATTGTATCCTCTATTGTTGTCTAGCCCTGAAGTACTGTATGCCTCAGAGGTTAATCGTCATTGAGGATGCCTATACTATGAAGGGAATCCCATCCTGTTCTAAAACGTTTTATAAGGCGTTGTAAATTTTTCGGTAATTTTTTTATTTGTTAGTATTTATTTCATTTAAAAAATACTTCATGTGTAAAAGTTGATTGAATACTTCAGCATACAGAACAAGAATAACGAACATTGTGAAATGAAGTGAATTCATTTCATGTGCTCTAAGTCAACTAAACAAATGAAATATTTTACAGTTGTAATTTTACATGTAACATTTCGTTCATTTTGGTCCATTTAGTTCACTATTGAAAAGAAATAATTATAAATACCTCCTATATTCATTTTTGCTTTACAAAAGTTTATCAAGGGGACTAATTTCATTGGACATCCACTTTCATAAATTTAACTTGCGTAGGACAACTTATTTTCGTTTTAAAACTCATAAATCAAATTATGGTTATTAGGCATCTTATAAAATAGACTTCGTGATACAAGTTACCTAGTTGTTATATGTCTCAAATAAGTACTGTCTTATAAGCTGGTGGTTGAAGTTAGCCTACAGAATACCCTGGACCTAAGTTTCGTGCTGTTGACACTCGTCAGCAACATGTACATGTAATCTTGAGGGAATTGTTGCTCCTTGGCGGATTCGACCCCTCGTCACCTAGACTTTGATCAACACTAAGAAGGACTTGACATATCTGACATTGGTCCCTACTCGGTGATCAGTCAATTATAAACTATCTCTTGTAAAAGACTTGATTGTTTCCTATATTATTTGTTTTAAATCCTAAACTATATTCATCAAATGTTATTTAGCTTCACCATCGTTGTTGGTTTATTCAGCTAAATTTTCTGTTTATCAATTTTTATTTCATTTTTACTAATCAAATGAGAAAAGTACTTTTCAAAAGATCATGAAAATAAAGGTCACATATGAAAATAATCTTTCCATTGTCTTTTATGAGTAGTTTACAGTGAAAAAAAGAAAGTTCATTTTTATCTTGTTCAAAATTGAAGTAATCTAATATATATATATATATATATATATATATATATATATATATATATATATATACTACCGAGTGTTTATATATATATTTTCGCGTCTCAATGATTCTCAATAAAGATAACGAAACGAAATCCAGTATTAAACTCAGTGTTTGTTCCAAAAAACCGAACAAGAGAGAGATAGTGAACTACTTTGAACAACGCAATTACTGAACATCTCTTGGATACAGGACATCAGGTTGATACCATGGAATCTTCCAAGGTAGTTAATAAACAGTCAAGCTCCAGTTTTTTGAAGTTTGCTAAAGCAATCGCTATCAGGAGTCAGAAACCTGATCTATGTGTTCTAAAGGAGATGGTTGTTAATCTTTCCTTACCTTGGTGATAAATATTAGTTCTTTACATCATGAAGATTTTGTTCAACTCTTCCCTTCAAATAATTACATCAGTACGTCTTTTTATTTCGACTGTCTTCTAGATTGGCAATCTTATTTCAAGTAACTGGGCTTTACTCATTTTATTCTTATGATCAGCATTTACTCATTACGTAACCACTTGTTTCTAGCACTTTAGACCTTTGTCAGCATCAGTGTTGTATATAAAGTATATGTTTACAATATTTTTTCAGTCTATCTAATTTATTGACACCATTACTATACTATACTGATATATCTTGAAAGTAGCTTCCAACTAAGCTCTTTCTTGTAAGTAATTATGATTTATAAATATTACAGGTTGTAAACATATAACGAGAACCAAAGTAAATTTAATGAATTCATGCTATTCTGCTCAAATCTTTGTTCTTGCTCTCTTCAAGATTGTAAAGAGAACTATGTATAAGAATGAAAAATCCAGTATTGTTGAAAAACATTTACAAGCAAAAAAAAGAATGGGATAAGATTGATATAAATAGTGTACTGCTTATTTTAGAAACGAAAGTTAAATTGAGTAAAAAATAGACTAATTCAAAAATTTTCCTTAATGATGAATAATATATTTAATCGAAAGTATGATCTACAAATTTATAGTTTAATAACTGTCAGTCAATAAAGTGTACTGCTCAAGTCATCACCATCTTTAGCGATTATTCATTAGCATTAGGTATTTTTATTTGAAAAAATATAATTATAACATGAGACTTCATTTTATATTTACGTCAAGTTGAAATTGACTGATCAGACATCTACTTTCAACAGAGTATTTGTACAAACATATTTTGTAAATTGATTTGTTTACTGTCGCTTTAAATTACAGAAAAAAGGTCAAGCATAAACAAACCCCAATATGATTCATGTAAAGTCAGACAAATATGTCATTATGTAGTGATTCTTTTTTTCTATATGAAGCTAAGCAGCTAAATATAACCGTATTTCTATTTTGATACAATAATCAATGAGATTCAATGTATTAAAGCTACGGGCATAATCTACTGGGCTACGAATTTATAATGGTTATCTCTTAATAAACAGATATGGATATATGTTAATAAGCAAACGTTAGCAGAATAGATAGGTATCACAAGTCATCAATGTAAAGCTTTAATTTAAATGATAACATATGTACTATGCCTATATAATTGTGAATTCATATTCATAGGCGTTATAGCTTCATGTTGTGTACCACAAAACTAGTCATTTCTTTTTAATACGATTAAATAGTTGTTTGCCATTATACTTTCTCTGAACAATGGTATGTACAAAATGAATGTTATATTGGTTTATTGCATTTTGTGTACATTTTATTTTATTTAAAAATACTATGTATTGTTATTTTGATTTACATTATATATAGGAATGAAAATTCACAATTATAATAATGGTTTGCTAGCTGGTATATATAAGCATAGTACATATGTTATCATCTTAAATTAAAGCTTTACATTGATGACTTGTGATACCTATCTATTCTGCTAACGTTTGCTTATTAACATATATCCATATCTGTTTATTAAGAGATAACCATTATAAATTCGTAGCCCCATACTGAAAATATAAATGACTTGAAAATGTTTTTGTCTTGTAATCAATTACATCAGTATTTATAAATGTAAATCACTGTCATAGGATAAAATAACTTTTTAAGTCACTCCGAAAGTAAATATAAATTGATTTCCCTTAGGTCTTTCGTGAGATCAAATAGAAAAACGTAGCAGTTAGTAGTTATAATTTAAGTTTTTTTTCATGTATTATTAATTGTACGGTGACATCATTTTATTCGTAATTTCATTTACTTCAAAATGATACTGTTTTAGTAGTAAATTACCTAAAATACGACTCGTCAATCAGCTAAATATATAAAAATATATTTACGTAAACATTCTTCTTCATCCTTGAATAATATTGACTTCAGAACTGTTGAAATTCACTTGAATTTTCATTAGTTCCATGAAACACCTGTAACTTGTGAATTTTAATAATATCGGATTGAGATAAATACGAATAGATTTATTAGTGATCTTTTATGCATTATCTCGAATAGACTGAAGTCGTTAGTGTGAACAACTGAATTCGTATTCAATAGTCTACGAATAATATGCTCAATCTAAGGCTTTAAGGATTTTGTTTTGTTAGGAGAACATATTTCGAAGGAGTCCTCAACACAGGCAAAATAACTTCAGTGTTGTCTAGTTTTCAATAACTTCTAAGTTGATTCCATCTCTTTAACTAAAGCTGACTTTCAGTTAAATAATAGTCGTAAACTCCACTTTTAGTAATAATGATCTAGTGTTTCTTGGAGGAAAAAAGGTACTACAATTAAGTAATACGTTAAAATGGGCTGCATAAAGTCATGTTTTTTTATTATCAACCATTGTCAAAGTTAGTGAAATAATACCAAGTGTTATTTCAATTTATATTGGGCTTTTTGCAAAATAAACGCCTACTTTAGTTTTACTCGTTGCCAAAAGTGTGCTTTTGAACTTGTTAGCAATTTGTTTAAAGTAACACGGCTGAATTTAAATATGCTACAATGATGTTGAAGTTATCAATATAGGGTTGTGGAGATTGTCGACTTTTAATTGAGATAAATCTCCGACTGATAATTTTCAGACCACCATTGGAAACGTGGAAGCACCGGACTGCCGTTTTGTTCTAGTATAGGATTCAGCATTGTGCATTCACGATCCCGCATGCGGGACTCGAACTCAGTACCTTCGATCTCGTTACCTTTGTTCTATTTCTATTGTATGGATCTGTATTTTGCGTAAATGAAAATGTGACTTTTATTTTTCTAGTAGCTTTCGTTAGCTGATACGTAATTATTATACTTTTCTAATACTCATTATTATTCTGCCAAGATTGGTATGTATACTTATATTAAACATTGAGTCATGTATTTATCCGGATTATATCTGGAACTATGTCATCCAAAGAAAATGAAATCGGGAATAATAAAGTAAGGATGAGTTGTTAGTCAAGTATTTTGGTTTCTGACACTTTTAAAATGTTTGTTTAAAATCCAAAGGATTAATATGTCAGATTATCAATGATATCACTATGTATTTATATAATATATGTCCATCTCCACATGTACTTTTAAGGATACTACAATAGAACGCCGTTCTGTTGTCGATTTTGTCGTTGTATTAAACTTAAAGTATATTCTTCTAGTCAAATCGGAACCAATTAACTATTTTAGCGTAAAAAGGAATTTAGAAAATGTATGATTTTTTACATAGTTTGATATTACTTTAAGATTATCGAAGTCATCAAGAATTTGATGCATTTGACCGATACCGTTTCAGATTGTTTTACTTAGTTATCTGTTTTGTTTTGAACGAGGTTCACTAACAATATACTGTGAATTTAGTTGATAAGTAACCTATTCATCCTGATTTTTCCCACCTTTTAGTGGCAGCTGAAAGTTTTAATCCAGCCACAATAACTGATTTGGAACCTGTTGTTCATCCAAAGTCTGTAGCACAAAAACTTCGTTTAGCATCAGTCGTTAAACCAATTTTCATTTTTCGTTCATTGGATGAGGTGAGTTATGGGAAGTTTGTTCGTGCAATTCAATTTTTGGTTAAGATTTTATGACAATGCTGATTTTCAGTGAGATGAATTGCTAACAGTAGGATTTCTCAACTTTCTAATTGTTGTACAGCAAACATGAAAATAACTATTCTAATGCATCCACATAGTTAATCTCCAGTTAAACTCATAAAGAAAAATTGTTTTAATATTTGAAGTGGCACAGTGAGTATTTCCAAACACTATTAAAGTATTCGTCTGGAAGTCAAGTGCTATTTATGGCCTTAATGTCTGCCTCAGGTTGTCGGCACTTTGTATTCTTTGGTATGCCTTGAAGATTCTAAGTTGTAACTCGCCTTAAGATGCACTTGCGTGGTTCGCGCAAAGTATGTTCTATCCACCTCCATCGTCTGTTCCCGATTTCCTCGTCAACTGGTAGCTGCTTTTTTTCTACAACAGTATGTTACCACTGGTGATTTTTGGCCAATAAATCTGGAATACCTTGTGTAAACAGCTATTAATGAGCACCTGTATTTTTATGGTAACAGTGATGATAGTCCTTCGAATTTTAGACCTCTGCAATAAAACTATTTTAACGTTAATTTTGAGAATTCTAAATTTGGTGTTGGCTGACAGTTCTTTTGAGTTTCATATATTATTCTTTTGTAGAAATATTGTCCTTGTTATATTGGTTTATACCATCATAGCTGCATCAGGTACTGTTTGTTTATCAGTGGTACTGCCCAATTACATAAAGGGTTCCATCTCTTTCAGAGTTCCCCATCAAATGTGATTTGGTTGGTCCCGACTGTTGTATATGCTGAACCCTAATGCTCCTGAAGCCGCTGCTACACTTGAATTCTTTGTATGTATGCGTAGCTACGTACGCTATAACACGGTTAAGCTATCTGCAAAGACGAAGTCACGCTGCTGTGTCTAAAGTGTCTCTTCTGTATTTTCTGCTTCTCCTAAAGTGTTGGGGTCACCATAATCCAATTGACAATCGGAAGTAAGAGTAGGCAGCCTTTGTGAGGGTAAGTGCTGCCGCCTATGACATTATTGTTTAAAGCTTACAGAACTGCCAGACACACAATATTCCCGCTTCTTTCTCCCAGCCTGTGTCACCCCTTGGTGCATTCATATTCAGTGTTGTCCATGCCGACTTTGGCATCTAGATCCTCCATCAGAATAGTCAGGTGTTTTCCTGAGTGTTTTTCTGACATGAACTACTGCCTGCCACGAACCTGTTCTCCACCATTTTCGCTGCTATTATAAGTGGAAGCGTAGCCCTGGATGATATTCATTGTAATCCTTTCATATTTTTGGCTTTAAAGAATGCTAAGGTGAGATTCTTGTCTTATAAGTGCTTTTTCCATGCTTCTTTGGAGAGTATCAGTGAAATGCTTTGCGTAAAACAAGAACTTTATTCCCGTCTTCAGATTACAATGACAACTCTCCTGAAGTTGGTTTTTTCTGTCCAGATTGTGTTCAGTGTGTTCCACCTATTTCAAGGCGAGCCAAGTTGCATCATATTTCCGCCGCTATTTGAATGAACCTTTTAGTTTCTCGCGTTTTCCAAACATTTCATTTACCTATAATGATTGGTGCTCTATCTATTAGAAGGGGCATTGGCTCCGCGACTTCAGAAGAACCTTGGCTTTTATGATTAAGCGTCATAGCTGTTCTACGTGAAAACCCTTTAACTCACAGGGCAGAGTTTGACTGGTGTAAATGATTTTTTCTGGCCAGCGTTTTTAAAGCTAGGTTTATTTTAAGTAATGGGGTTACTAACCCTACTCTCAACCATCGTCATTTACCCGTTATCAGGACCGACAGCAGTCCTGGGGGGCTCTAGGTATAGTTAACAATCATATTCGAAACTTAATATTTCTTACCTTTCTTCTGCACTTGACTAATTATGGAAAAAATCAACTTAAGCTCATGACTATTAACACTTATTCACCTTTAATCAAGACTGTATTCTACTCACAATAATTTATTATTTTTGATAAATACTTCGCATATATATATATATATATATATATATATATATATATATATATATATGGCAGGATTTTTTTAGGTTAGCTTGAAAACATGTATATGGTTGAGCATAACACGTATGTAGTCTGTATAACATCCCTACAAATATTTTTATACTTCTTGTAGCCGGAATTATAAACAGTATATTTGATGATGAACTCACACTAATTGATGTTAATTAGTTTGGACAAGTCAAAAATGTACTATATTAGAAACCACTAATTTTTAATAGCTTTCTAAGTAATTGGAGCGGAAACATGCTTGACATAGCGTTTAAATGCTTGTTAGCAGTAATCTATGTTTCACATAATTGGCTTTTTAGAAAATGAAGATGAAAAAAATATGTTTAAGAAAAGGAGATCAAAGCAAGAATTATGTGATTTAAAGTTATTCATTCGTGGAAATAAAACTAAGATTGAGCAAAACGTCTCTTGTTTGAAAATGAATTTTTTATTTTTTACTGAACATTACAGCTATCCTAGTCTTCCAATTTGTTGACTTCATCATGGCTAACCACGAATTCTTTAAAAGGTTTTTAAAACCATTTTTGGGTTTATATTGTAAAATTCTCTGATTTCCTCCTTAATAGCAAGAAACACTCAGCCTGAATTCTACTAGCGCCCACAGTCCAAATTTACTAATCAGTCAACATTAATACTGTTATCTCCTAAGCCCCGTCGAATATCACGTGAACCATAGATCGCCGATCAGAACACCTACTGATATAACCTTGACCGTGTGTCAAACCAGCACGAGCAGCCTAGAATCAACTCTGAGTCCTTATTCGTTCTTGTTACCTTGCTCTGAGTCCAGAACACAACCTCAGCTTCCACTGTATGAATAATGTATTTCAGACAATTGCAATTTATATTCAAGCAAATTAGACCGTATCATATCATAAAATAGAAAATAGCAATAATACAAGTTCGAGCCAAAAGTGGCTGTGAGTGTGGTGCTGTAACTAATAGGTTGAGAATAAATTAAGAATAGTAAATCGTACATTAATAGTCAATAGGTCAAACGAAAGCTTATGATAAAAGGAATATGAATGTACATATAATCTAGTTAATTGGCTGCACTCCAAAAGGAATATATTTAATAATAGTTCCTAAATAGTTCCTAGCAATTACCATTCATGTATTCTTCGTCAGGATATAACAAATTCAAAATCATATTTAATTTACAATCAAAGCAACAAAGCTGGTGTCTCTAGCTTGTCGATAATCGTCTTTGGCTTTGGTATATTCATTGGGTTAGAGTGAAATGACAGCCATTATCTATGTGTTGGTTTTGTACAGTCACTGATTAGTTTGGAATTTCTTTTTTTTTATACGTTTGTATAACATGTCACCTTCCATTAAGTAGTCACTAGTAGTTTCTGAAAGGACCAAAAGGAATCTAAAAGCCTAAGACTATTATTTTTTTTAACCTTATTAGGTTAAAAAAAATAGGTTAGGCGTTTACACAATGGTTTTATTATTATTTAGTTAATGTAAGTAAACGAAGTGTTAACACTGTTGATATTCAGGACTGATTTCCGCCAGTTTATATATATATATATATATATATATATATATATATATATATATATATATATATATATAACTGGAAGTTCAGTTTTGGGTAATGACCACCAATTTTTTTACAATTCACGACAAATAATGTGTCCATTGAACAAGTTAGAGAAAATCATATGTCAGTAGTCTGATGGATGGCAATCTTTCCTTTGAATTGATACATACTAGATTTTAGTCCCAGTGTAAAAATTTCATACTGTAATGTAAAAACATTCAACTGATAAATACAGGACAAAACGAAATATACTACTTGGTCTCTAATTTTAATCTTTATTCAAAAGAAAATTGTTTAAGGATTTCGCTATTACCACAATTAATATCAGTTTTTCATACAAAATACTGCTGAGCATAATTTTTGCAACAAACCGGTTTAAATGTTTCAAATTAGTTTTCCTATGGATAAATTAATGATCTACTGACTTCTGATACATCCTTTCATCTATAAAAATTAAAGTTTTTCACCTGTTATCTTATAAGATTATCCTTTTTTGTTTATCCTCATTGTTAATTTTTTTTTCTTTCCTCACTTTATATTTAACAAATAGATTCAACTGAGAAGAGTAATCGATGCGATAAAAGAAACGCCTGTGACTAAAGGTCAAGTAATTATAAATCAAGGTGAAGATGGTGATTATTTTTATGTAATTGAAAGGTGAGTGTATTAAATGAGCTAAGACGCTGGAAATATAAGTAGAATTTAAGGAGTAGAAAATAATATATATAGGATAAATGGGCTAGATTGTTTTACTGTTAATTTCTTATAATTAAATTGTTTATTAAGCAATGAGAAATCTTCAAATGTCTATGCTGTAACGAGTTATTGGTTGGATGTAACTGACAATAATATAACACTACCATAAGTTTGTATATTCCAATATTTATTATTTTACTAGTATAGGGGTTGTGGAGATTATTAAGTTTTTGATTGAGATCATGAACCGGTTGATGTTAGACCACCACAATTGAAAACCTGGAAGCACTGGACGGCCGTTTCGTCCTATTGTGGGACTCCTCAGCAGTGCGCATCCACGATCCCGCGAGCGGGATTCGAACCCAGGGCCTTCGGTCTCGTGCGCGAACGCTTAACCAACGACCACTGAGCCGGCATCCAATGGTGATAGTTTCTAACATCAACCAATCCACGAAATTGCGCGACCAACTTCCGTTGTACTGAGGTAGATACCTGTCTCTACCCGACAAGGATTAGCTCCACTGGTCACGGCTTCTCACTAGAACTCCGAGAATTCCCTCACGAAGCTAGTCACTAGTGAGCACATGTTGATTACTAGTATAGGGGTTGTGGAGATTATTAAGTTTTTGATTGAGTAATTGTTTGAGGATAGATCCAAGTGGTCATTAGTCCTGTTTTCTTTAATGATAGACATGACGAAGTTGCATGTGTAACGAATGGTTTGTATTTGATAAAATAACACCTTTTAGTTATTTTGAAGATCTTAAATAACTATTCTTAATCATGTTTATAATAAATATAGAAAATCAGTACCGACACAGCCGATAGTTTTCAAGGTGCTAGGTAATATAACAGCATAGTATTTGTCAAATGTAGAGAATAAATAATGAAAAATAATATACTGTATAGTTTATTTTATCAGTTCATAAGATCAGTACGATTCTACTGAACGAAACTAAAACCATCCTGTAATTTCCTACTTATTATCAGTTGTGCGATGTCGTTAAGTTTAAATTTCTGAACATAAATAATTAATGTTTGCTAGGCTTTAGTGGGGATATCAGTTGAACATTTACGTTAAGTGCTGACTTCATAATCGTACACATAGGTAATACAACCTATTAAAATTAAATATCATTACATTTATGAAGAGAAATTTCAATACTTTCGACCAAAGTTTAGTGTAATTAGAAACTGTCTGAGGAAAGTTGTTGCTGTTAACCGTTTCATTCATTCCTGCCTCGGTTTGGGCACCCGAGCAGTATCACAGCCCACACACAAATGATGAACTCTTTATGTCTATGGAAATTACTTTTCTCGCTTCGAAAAACAATCAATTGATTCGAATTATTATCATTACAATTATTGTCATTATTAATACTATTATTATTATTACATTATTGTCATTATTATTATTATTATTTTATTTTCCACATTATTCACCCTCTTTTATACTTATACAGCGGCTCGTCTTTGGTGGAAATTCGACTGTATCTAAACGTTCTCGAGTCACTGTCCGGTTGAAAATTGTATGTTACCACCGAATACGAGGACTGAAGCAGTTTTTCTGAAACCACGTGCACCATTCAAACTGGCTGCCTTCAACGTTCGCACATTTATGCAGGTCGGACAACAGATAGGGCTGGCTATGTCTTTGGAAAGTCTTAATATCGACGTGTGTTGTCTATCCGAGACCCGTATTCAAGACTCTGGCGAAGTACTACAAATTCGATCTCCATCTGTCGCTTCGAAAAGCTTGTTTTACGTGCGCTTATCCGGGGACCCTGTGGCATCTTCGTCTGGTCTTGCTGGCGTTGGTGTCGCACTAAGCGCTAGAGCTGAGGCAGCACTAGTCGATTGGATCCCCATTAACAGTCGGTTATGTGCTGTTAGATTAGAAAGTTCCATCAAAGTGAGAAGAAATCGGCGTGAGAAACGATGTCTTTTCGTCATCTCCGCCTATGCCCCGACAGATTGCAGCCCGGATGCAATCAAGGATGAGTTTTACCACCAGTTATCAGTTCTTCTCCAGAAAGTGCGTTCGACAGATATTGTAGTACTAGCCGGAGACTTGAATGCTCAGGTCGGGCGTCTAGGCACAGAAGAGAGTCGTTTAGGTGGCCGATGGGGACTCGTTGGTCGCAGGTCAGATAACGGGGACCGTCTACTGCAACTTTGCACAGACCACAACCTGTTTCTGGCTAGCACTAACTTTCGGCACAGTCATCGCCGATGTGCCACCTGGCGTCCTCCCTCTGCATCTCAAGCCTGGACTCAGATTGATCACATCGCGATCAGCTACCGCTGGCGTGGTTGTGTAAAAGACTGCCGCTCCTTTTGGAGTACCTATCTGGACTCTGACCATGCCTTGGTCTGCGCCAATCTTGCCTTACTTTTCAGTGGACAACGAAGTGACCGCCATCAACGGATTGATGTTAGCAAGCTGGTTGCAACTTCTGTTGCAAGTAAGTATCGAACCGAGCTAGCCTCTAGGCTAGCTACCACTCCACCGAAAAGTATAGATGAGCATTGGTTGCAATTGCATGACGCCATGAAAATGGCGGGAACAGTCAGTTGTGGGTTTGCGAAACGTCCCGCTTTAAGCACTGGGTTTCTTCTGGTTCCTTACAACTCATTGAAGCCCGTCGGTCTACTCCGGGTGACCGTGAGTTTGACCATAAACGAAGGATGTTACGTAAGGAAATTGGGCAAAGCTTGCGTAAGGACCGAGAAGCCTGGTGGTCGATGCGTGCTAATGAGCTGGAAGCAGCAGCTGCATCTGGTAACTACCGGAAGCTCTTCCAGCTCATCCGAGCCACTGGCAGCAAGAAGTCTGGTGTGAGTGAAACAATCTGCGAGGATGATGGGATGCCAATCACTAACATCCATCGACGTCTTGGACGATGGGCAGAATTTTTCGAAGGGCAGTTCAACTGGCCTGCTGCTCCGGCAACATCGGTCAGACTGTCCTGCCCTCCATGGCCGGTGACGACTGATCCACCAAACGAGGAGGAAGTCCGCAAGGAACTCCAACTCTTGAAGCGTTACAAATCACCTGGCCCAGATGACTTACCTCCGGCTCTTTTTAAAGATGGTGGTGACTTTTTGACTAAGGAATTGACGACGTTGTTTACAAAGGTTTGGGAACTAGAGAGTGTACCAACGTCATGGAATGAGTCGATAGTTGTCCCTATCTTTAAAAAGGGTTCACGTCGTTCCTGTAACAACTATCGGGGGATAAGTCTACTTCCGATTGCGTCCAAGCTATTGGCTTCCGTCATTCTTCGTAGGTTGTTCAAAACCCGAGAAAGATTGACTCGCGAGGAGCAGGCTGGGTTTCGTTCTGGTCGAGGATGTATTGATCATATCTTCACCCTCCGCCAAATGTTAGAACACCGCCATACTTATCAAAGGCCAACAATCGTAGTGTTTCTTGACATCAGGGCTGCCTTCGATTCGTTGGACAGGACTGTTCTCTGGGATTGTCTATTGAAGAAGGGTGTGCCTGAGAAGTTTATTAACATCCTAAAAGCCCTATATAAAAACACCTCAGGCAGAGTGAGGGCATACAACCACCTCTCTCCATTGTTCCATTCGAGCAGTGGGGTTAGGCAGGGTTGCCCAATCTCACCATTCCTCTTCAACTTTGCCATCGATGACATTCTGGAAACAGCTCTGATGAATGTAAGTAATGGTGGTGTGGATCTGTTGCCTGGAGAAAGACTTCTCGACCTTGAGTATGCGGACGATATTGTCTTACTGTGCGATAATGCCCAAGGCATGCAATCCGCACTTAATCAGTTGGCAATCAGTGTCCGTAGGTATGGTATGTGCTTTGCACCTTCGAAGTGCAAAGTACTTCTACAAGACTGGCAGGATTCTAATCCTGTACTCACCCTGGATGGTGAGCAGATAGACGTAGTTGAGAAGTTCGTGTATCTGGGTAGCTGCATAAGTGCTGGTGGGGGTGTGAGTGATGAGATCAATGCACGAATAGTGAAAGCCAGAGCGGCTTATGCCAATCTGGGCCACCTTTGGCGCCTTCGTGATGTTAGTCTGGCTGTAAAAGGTCGGATCTACAACGCGTCGGTGAGAGCAGTTTTGCTCTATGCTTGTGAAACCTGGCCTCTCCGAGTTGAGGACGTTAGACGACTCTCTGTGTTCGATCATCGCTGTCTCCGAAGGATTGCTGACATTCAGTGGCAACACCATGTCAGTAATGCAGAGGTTCGGCATCGTGTGTTCGGGCACAGAGATGATAATTCAATTGGTGTCACCATCTTGAAACACCGACTTCGGTGGCTTGGACATGTTCTCCGAATGTCGTCCCAGAGAATTCCACGTCGTGCATTATTTGCCGACTCTGGGACTGGTTGGAAGAAGCGGAGAGGTGGTCAGTGCATGACATGGTGTCGTGGCATGAAAGAAAGCTGCAAAGGACTGGCTTGTGTTGGTCCTTCACGACTCCCTGGTTGGGGTCTGAGAGATGGTGCTACACAGTGGCTAGAGACGTTATCAGATATGGCTCAGAATAGAAGCCAGTGGCGATCCTGCTGTAACCTTCTTTTACTTTCTTCATAAAAAGTGGTTGTGTCTCCTTACCTGAAAGATTTCTTCTGATTGTACCTTTCGTTCCCTCGTTACTACCACACTACCTTACACCAATCTCTTCGTTATTGTTCTCTTTTTCTTTTGCGCTCCTTAGTTTTTTTTTCTATTTCTCTTCGAATTCTCATTGTTTTGTGTGGCGCATATATATTGGCGCTCTCTTGTACCAATATTCATGTGTTCAAATAAATAAATAAAATAACCGTTTCATTATGTACTATCCTATTCATAAAATGAAATAACTTCACAATGAAATTTATAATTATCATTGTTCAGATTGAATATTAATAAAAATATGGTGAAAAATGTCTAAATTAAACTCATAATTTTAATTTATAATGTGTACTGTATAAAAACGTTGTTGGTTGTTTATAAAATATACTTTTTTTGTCTTATGAATGTTTATAAATAACGGACTGATTCAATTAATGTGTATTAATTTAATGTGTATATATTTCTGTAAATCTTATGTAGTAAGATATAATCTATTATCAGTGTACATATTTGTATATGTTTCTTAGATTAGATTACTTAAGTGTTTAAGAATATTCTATATATGTAATTGGTAGAATACAATTGGATTAACTTGGAGTTCATCTACAATAATATATAAGACTTATGGGATCTAGTTTCTAAACGATTTGAATACGTAAATGAAGAGCAAGAATTTATCGATTCTAGTTAGTTTACATCACAAACCGTATTTAACCAGACATTTAGTGAAACCAAAGAGAATTAAACAGTACGAAATCCACGGATTGAATAGTTGTCTTTAGTGCTGTTTTAAGTATGAGGGCGGTTATCACTTCCCGGTTGCCCACACCGTGGAATGGTTCTTCTGGAGGTACCAGAAAGAGAAATTGGATTAAAGGTGGTCCTAGTGACCTGAGAGCGTGACCTCAGTGCCCGAGGGACAACTTCTTTAGGTCGGTCACCCACGACCTTTTTGTGGGTAATTTTCGTGTTAGCAATGTACTTGTTGAGACATTACCTCCGGAGACGGATATCCGTGATATAAGGTGAGGTGTGCACTTTTAGGGTCGACTTTTTCTAACCCGACCCCTCCTTTTGGGAAGGCAGCATCGCTGTTAAGCTGGTTGTATGAAGGAAACACTTTACTTCCATCACACCTCTGTACAGTCAGCAGTACGACTTCACCCTCAGACCTTGGGTTTTCTGCTTTTAGTCTTATCGCTCTTCAACTGATCTGTCTGGCATAATAAGACATTGAGGAACGATTGTTCCAGCCAGTATAGCTCGATTGGTCCATTACGATAGGCAAGCCCGACCACCACGTCAAGGTAGCAACAACGGTCATGACAGATTGAACTAAGGATTTTCATGTCTCACAATAAGTATAAAACCTTTTAATCATTATCAGTTCATTCTTGAAATAACTTTTAAATAAATTATGAAAACCTGTGCTGAAAAGTAGAGTTATTCAACTGAGATACTTGTAGATAGATCACAGTTCTTGTTAAATTCGTACATTTTCCCCCGAATATTATGTTTAGAATTGACTTGTGTATTTATCTTAACTCATTGCATTAATAATAGTAATAGCTTTAGTGCATTATCAACTCACAAATATTTCTATAAATTCTTTATTAATTATAAGCGTGAATAAAGAAAGAACAAATATTTTAAGCAGTGTAAAATGAATTCATTTATTTTATCTTGGATTTTTCCCAGCTGCTTACAACGTAAAACCATAGTATTAATCACTAAGACTGAAACAAGCATACGTGTACATTATATCAAAAAACGTCTTAGATAAATTTTGTTGATATTCTGCTACAATATTTATCCTTTATTTAATCTCAAAATAATTTGTTAGTGTTATAGCTGAGCTTTTGGAATGAATTATAGTAGTAATTCATTTACGTTGGTTTGCATTTTTCTGTTGTGTAATAGTAGGATTCACTATCAGATAAATTCCCCTGTGAAACTAAGGTTTTACTAATGTTGCACTATGCTACCCGCAATGTAATACACCAAATAATACCAGTTACAATATTCACAGTTATAATTTAATTCTTTATGCCTTTGATCTAACCGTATAAATGTATTTTAAGGCACCGTTTATATGTAACCACAAATAACAGAAAATTTTTTCATTTGTATCTTCCTTAAAAATTGACTATTAATTCTTTTAACAAAGTTTGGATGTGTTATGTCTCCGAACCCACTAAACATTATCAGCTCTGTAAACTAATGATATAGTTGTCAATTTAGCTTATAATTAATTAAATATATTCATATATTCATTTATCGTAACTAGATATTATCATGTTTTCTCGTTAATTAGATTACTAATCTGTATAGATAAAGCTTCACCATGTTTTTTTAATTGTGTTGATATGTTGTTAGTGTTTCTGCGACTAAATTCTTTGTTTGTAAAAGAGACTATTTCTATTTGTGGTTTTGTTAGATATGTATGAGAAAATATGTACATTAAAGTAATTTGTTTGCTCATAAGGAACAAACTGGTTTGTTTCCATTTTAGTGGGGACTATGATATAATCATAAATGGGAATATAGTAGGAAGTTATGCTGGATCGGGTTCCTTTGGAGAATTAGCACTTATGTATAACACTCCTCGAGCGGCTACCATTATAGCGAAAACAGATGGTGTATTGTGGGCTTTGGATCGAACAACGTTCCAACATATAGTTTTGCGACAGGCATTTTTAAAACGTCAACTTTATGAGAACTTGCTGTCTTCAGTTCCGCTTTTAGGGAGTTTAAGTGCATACGAACGTACTAATTTGGCGGATGCCCTTGGGAGTCATACCTATGAAGATGGGACGTGGATTATTCAAGAAGGTGAACCGGGAGAGGAAATGTACTTTATTGAGGAAGGATGTGTTGTAATTTCTACCAAGAATTCTGTAAGAAATATTTTCATTATTTGTTTATTTTGTTTATCAATATTAATAATTTGTCCTTTATATAATATCACTGAATTAAGTTTTTTATAATGTACGATGTTCCGATTACCATAACTTTTTTTTTCTCTGATGGATTGATTTTTTTTTCAGAATACACAAATTATTTGTTTCTTTTAACACCATCTACATGTAGCTAGTTTAAATAACTAGCGATATATGTTTAACGCCATTTTTATTATTTGATTGTTCATAATAACAACTTATCAATTGCTTTAACGAAATAAACAGTCATGCAAAAATGTTCCATTCTTATTGAGATACTGATGACGCCACTATATACAGGTTAAAAATTTAACGATATTTCCCATAAAAACTTATTCAAGTTCGGTAGATATGATAAAATAAATTTGAAATAGTAACCGTATCGGAAAAATGTCATGAAAATAAATCTATTCAGGTTTAAAAGCGTGATAGAGAAAGGATGTGGTTTGTAAAAATTACAAGTCACGAGCATGTAGAAGGATTTTATTTTCATACACAATATGAGTTTTCTATATGTATTTAGCAAGAAGATCACCAATACAAAATATCAAATGAAAATGTGCTATCTCTTTTCGTCTTGGTTTCTATTTACCTTGTCAATGATTCAGAATGATAGGTCTCTTTTCGTTGAATAACCCGTGTTCATGTGATAATTTATCATTGTAACCATCGCCATGCCCTTTTTTCAAACCTGTCACAAACTCTCTTTTTAGGTTCTGGACTAAAATAACAGATTTTTGTGCTTTTTTAATTCATTCGGAGGATTGTTGTTATTAACGAACATATTTTACATTATCATTATTAACAAAGAATATGTATGTATTTAATTGCATGGCTTTGGAAATAAAATCATTGGAAGCAATATTTTCGTTAAACAACTAAATATTAGACAAGAAAATGTTTAAGATAATTAAAATTTACTATTCTTTACCTCTCAGCTTCATTTAGGCGACTGGTATAATTTCAATATTTAGAACATCAGTAGTTTATCTTTTATTGAGGTAGGGAATTATAATTATTGATTATCTAAAGTAGCCAATAATTAACATAGTTCAACTGTGTTTTATCTTGGATATAGAATACACTGATGCTGTATTAATTTAGCCGTCAGTTTTATCGCACAAAATCAACGTTTGTAAATCGTTTTGATTAGTTAAAGAAAAAATGATTTCTACTTATTCTGTTTAATGATTAGGCTGAATAGTGGGCTATTTTATTTTATAACTAACCAATTTTTTTAGTGCGGAAATATGTATAATTTTCATCTGTATGGTGTTTATCTAAATGTTATGTAGACCTCGAGAAAGTTGGTTTTGAAGTTTGTAATTACCACTAAAAAGATTAGACTTGATATATTCAGATAAATTAGGCACTGACTAGATTGTTTATGATAATATATCTGTTTTAAAATTTGGTTTTGATCTTGAATTCAGAACTACTAAATGTGATTGTATAATATCCTATGAACTTCAGATACCATTGTCATATTTATAAAAGAGAGTATTGTCTTGAACATTGGCTGTGATCTATGACATACCAGCAAGTAGTTGAAATACAAACGAATTTCACATCATATATGATTATAAAAAAAGGAAAACCAGTAGGGAATTTTCTTGTCAAAATCTAGCACAATTTAAAATTATTCTTAACATAGAGTTTAGTTGTATTATGTATGTAGCATTTATTTGAATTCATCTTCTTTGTATTATTGTTAAAATAATAGTTTTTCAATACTATATTTTAATGAATTTAGAAGTGTAAATACACTCAGAATCTTAATGATAAACTTCCATTAGTAATGTATTTGAAAAGACATATTCGCTACATTTTGTCAGTACATGATGTCATTTTACAACTTTCCTATTTTGTACTAAATGTGTTTCTGTTAGCTAATAAATTAGTTTTCGTAAGGATACAAATAATTCCAGTTTATCTCTTATCATATTCTCATATATGTCAGTATTGGTAACTATACACAAAACTTATATGATGCTTAACTTAGTTCTGGTAATTCAATGACGGATCTTATTGTATAGAAGGTTTGACAACAAGCCTTTACTATATCACTCATTCAATTATCTATACTAACTAAGTTAAATGAGACCCCATATCAAGCGTTTTTTTCGCAAACTCAAAAAAGGTATCATTGCTGTTACAAGGTTGTTAGGCAATGTACAATTACATTGGAAAACTGATTTGGTTAATTATAATGAAATTGTAGCTCAGCTAGATAGAGTGGTGTATCGTATACCATTGCTCAAGAGGACTATCTAAATTGTCTGCTGAATAAAAGTGATTTGGCGATTTAAATAACTATTTCATCAAGTGACAAAAAAACAAAAATTTCATTTATTCATAATTTATGATGATACGATATGTTTCTGTAGGGTACTGTTTCAGAGAACCTGAGAATTCTGGTTGATACAAGATTAATCATTAAGATTTATAGACTGATATTCAGAAATAACAATCAATGCGAATATGTTTTAGAAAACCGTTTATGAATTGTTTCTTCTATATATGAAGAAGTACACGGAAAAAATCAATTTGTTAGCGATTCAGTATCTGTTCTTATCATGAAAAATAGTTTACTTATTTTGAAAAAAGTTTAAATAAACAAGCAAATATTTCTAAAAATGCAAATAGGTTAGAATTTTATTTCAGTGGGAAAAAAATCCTACTGAGTCTTTACTTTTTTAGTGAGTTTAACTACATTAATAATGTAATTTTTTTCACAAATAGAAAGGAGAGGAAATCGTACTCAAACAGCTGCACAAGAATGATTATTTTGGTGGTACGTACATTATTGTATTATGTTGCAATATAATGTTGATCATTTTCCGGTACTTTTCTTAAAACCTGAATAATTTTTTGTTATATATTAAAACGTCAATATAATAGGTTTGAGCACTTATATCTATAGAGTACATTTGGTGATAACTTGCATCACAATATACAGCTAATCACTAATCATGCATGTTTATATTCTAAAAATGTCGTGGTTCTTTTCAGAGACCTAGCTGTATGTTTTTTAAATATATCTACAGGTGTGTAAATGTAGCTTAGTTAATTTGCTGATATTCCGTTAAATATTTACATTAATGATTAAGGTATTGGTTTTTTCTGTTAGCCTATAGTAAATTTTATTTACAATTGATTGAGGATTTTTCTAATAGGATCCAATCAATGGGAGTTGTGATAGACTGAATGCCCGTCACACAACAACAATTCGACGTTAACAATCTACATGCCAATAGAGAAGATGAAACTGAGGATAAATTTGTATTCCATACAGAAGTCATATTTAAAAAAGAACAACTTTTTACTGTAACACTGAATGATCTTGAGTCACGTAACAAAATAATCCAAAATGCGTTTTACAACCAATCAACTCACACCAAATGGTCTTGAGAAAAGATGAATTAAGGAGATGTCATCGTGATTATCCTTTAAAAATGAACCTACATGTGTTTATAAATAACTAAATAACTTGATCTCTTTCTTACAAAATGTCCTAAGGTTCACTGTAACAATAGTATTTTAGATAGAAAGCTTTTGATATTTAGTCTTTATTTATTGAATTGATAAGGTACACTTTCATTCATTACAGATTTATTTATAATTCATATTAGTTAAATACTGTGACTTTGTGCGGACAAATTTATTGTATCTTCACACTAGATGCATAATATGCGAATAATTTGACAAGTTTTATTTTCTGAAGCTTATAACTAGCTTGTGATTTATATTATTCTACAGTTTTCCTTTCAGAGAAGTCTTTACTTGACTCTACAGACTTGTTTATACGAATCAGTTTTTTTAAAATATTTGACTTCACCAATGTAATTTCTGATAAGTTTATAATAAATAATATTTTTTTTATCTTTTTCAAATAGAATTAGCGTTAATTTTACATGAACCCAGGAAAGCATCAGCTCGTGCTGTTGGTAGAACTAAACTTGCAGGTCCGTGAATATTTTAAGTTTTGTTGGTCTATATATGTTTTGATTATTCTGAAAAAGCATTTTGCTGTCTAACAAGTTTATAATTTCAAGGCTTTATGAAGTAGTCAATAAATGAATGTTCTTATGGTAATTCAGTTGTATGATGTATTTTTTTTAAAGACATTTTTAGGCATATTCGATGTTCAACAAGTCATAACTAATAAAATTGTCAAGGTCTACCTCACAAAGAGATATATGACTAATAAATCTCTAACGTCCATTTGAATGCTTCAAAACTGTTCCCGAAAGTTTATTTAGACAAACAACTTCGGCGAGACTTTAATTTAGCGACGACCTTTGAACGAATCTTAAATGACCTTGACAATTGTTAGCCAATCAGAAGACAGTTAGTATAAAGTGAGAATATATTGTATGTAAGTAATGAATTACAGTGGATATTCTTCTTTTACATGATTTAAAAACTTGTTAGGGTTTGATAAAGGTTCAGAGGCTCTGAATTCATAATGCATATGGTAGAGAAACTCGTCCATAGGGTTAGTGGTTAGGGTTGTAGCCTAGAGTTAGGGTTAAGGTTAGGGGTTAGGGTTAAGGTTGGGTTAGGGTGCTAACATGCGATCAGTTTACAACGGATTTAAGAGGTTAGGGTTAAGGGCTATGGTTAGTGTCAGGGTGGCGTTGTAGCCTGTCAATAAACACCTCTTCTCCAAAATCCGACGTAAACCGATCGCATGTTAGCACCCTAACCTTAACCTAACCCTAAACCCTAAACTTAACCTAACCCTAACCTAAACCTTATCCCTAACCTTAACCCTAACCTAGCCCTAAACCCTAATCTAACCCTAAACCCTAACCTTCACCTAACCCTATGGACGAGTTTCTATACAATATGCATTATGAATTCAGAACTTCTGAGCCTTTATCAAACCTCAACAAGTTTTGAAATCATGTAGAAGAAAAATATCCACTGTAATTAATTACTTTCTTGTAATATATTTTTCCTTTATATTGTCTTTTGATTGGCTAATAATTGAAATTGCTCAAACGCTTCTCATTGGCTCGTCCCTAAATTAGAGTTTCGCCGTCCCATCTGTTTTAACCTCTCATTAATCACCTCCTCTCCAAAATCCGCTGTGAACCGACCGTATGTTAGCATCGCGTGTTGAATTTGGCTCCGGGACCTTGAAATTGCTCAGACGCTTCTGATTGACTCGTCGCTAAATTAGAGTCTCGCCACAATTTCTTTTATAAATCTAGTTAGTGGAGCGTAAACTGTTGGATGATTATCAATAGCTATTCTATTATTTAAGGCTTATGTATTTTAACTTAATGTATGTATGTGTTATTTGCTGAACTTCTAATTGCCATGTTGGCTACTGATAATGCTTAAAAACATTTGATCCCACAAGTTTATATGCTTACAAGCTCTGATTTTTGAAAAAAGTTATTCCAAACTACATCACTTAACATCAATATAATGAAGGTATTAATGCACTAACAAATGTTAGAAAGTGAAATATACTATATTACTTAACCGTTCTCAGTCAGTTTATTAAAATTTATGTCAGTTTTCATATTTTCTCTCTGCTGGTTTCGTTGTGTATGGAATTTGCAAAATATTTATCTTTTGAGTTATTCTCTCAAGATCCTCTTTCTTTCCTTTGTTAGTTCTGGATGTATCAAGTTTTGAACGACTTATGGGACCATGTATAGAAATTATGCAACGTGAAATGGGGCGTTATCGTACTCAATTACTTGAAACTTTGGGACCAGATGATATACGTAATAATCCTTCATTGGCAAAATTCGTAGAATTCGAACAGTAATTTCAAAAAAAGAGAAAATACAAATATGTCAACTGTAATGAATTATGAAAACAAACTACAATTGTCTGTTCTCATTCATTTCTTCATATAGATGTTTTACGTAAATGATCGTATTCTCAATGTTTTGTTGATGAATTTCTGTATCTTTCATGAATATAAACGTTTAACGTTCTCACTGTTTTTTTACAATATCTGTAACGTGATTATTCTCACTATTTACACATACATTCAATTATCGAATGTATTTTTAAAAAAACTGATGTTTATTATTATTATTATTATTATTATTATTCGTACAATATCATATTGTAGGCATATTAAACTAATTACTTCAAATACTACTTATAATCATATACTACTTTCATACAAATTCCATGATATACTTTACAAAATAGTTTGATTAATTATCTTTTCATTATTATTATTTTCTTAATAATTTGATAACCTTTATCAATTCTCGTATAATGTAAATAAATAATTGATGATTGGGTTTTTTTACTTGAATTGATGTGAAGAAAAAATAAAACAGATGGTGAAAATTAACTGAAGAAAAAGAATTTCTCCATTAAATAATAAATATAATTGATCATTTAAAAAAAAAAAAAAAAGAAGAATCGAAAAGAATTTCATCGCATTTCATTCAATCAGTTAATACTTTACTTGTACACTTAAATTTATTTAGTAAATTGAAGATATAACAGATGAAAAATTATTATATTTATTGACAATTATTATTTATTACTGCTTATAGTTCATATTAATTTAGTGATATTATCATTCACTTTACAGTGGTTGTTGTTGTTGTTGTTTATTTAGAGTTGACATTATGATTATATATTTTAATAAAATGAATACAATAATAATAACAATAGTAAAATGATGTACTATTGTTGAATAATGAATAAGTGTTCACGGTATTTATTTCCACAGTACATACGTATACAACTATGATACTGAAGTAAACTTTCTCTTATTTTGTTTTCTTCTATGCTAACTATCATTCATATTTAGTGTGTGTGTGTGTGCGTATGCATGGTAATGTTTGTATCACCTCTTTGTCTTTTATGAAACAATGTTTGCCTTCTAGAGTGTTTATAGTTTATTCATTTGTAAATGTACAACTATAAATAGATTTTATGCAGTTCTATATTTTGCTGATAGTTGAAAATTTTGTAATCCAACTAAAAGATACTTTATATCATTTGTGGTAAAGTTATTATTTCATTTAGTTTTTTTTAAAGTAATGGTATATATGTTCGCTGTTTGTAATTTGTTATTAGAATCTTTCATGTTTGTAGTGAAACAATAATCAGATAATTTCAGTCGATTATAACTTGATTGATTTCTTTATTTCTATCAATAAGAAAGAAATACTTTTTGACTGTTGATTTAGAAAATACCGAAATGTTTGAAGTGACGTATTTAAAACTGGTGTTTGGAAAGGTGCATATATATATATATGATTTAAGAAAATATATTGGCTTTAGTATGAAAGCCTAAACATCCAACACAAGTAGTTTCATCTCTATTATTCTTTTTTTGGTTGGGGGATAAAACCTCTGTCTTACAATCTGTAAATTGATTTAATGATTACAATTTCTTGGGCAATGATTTCATTTTTTTTCTGATCATAGTAATTACCTATTACATATGATCAGGTCAGTTTTTGAGCTGATTCATATGGCCTATAATAATCGAATTATAAAATAAAGCGAATCTGGTTCAGTGAAACCTCATATTTTAGAACTAGCTAGATATAGTATGTTTATAGTACTTAAAATTGAGACGAACTTTTAAGTTTGAAATATAAATTTAAGTTTAGTTTTGCAGAAGATATTTATAACGTTCACAAGTAGATAACCATATTTCATGTCCACTGAGCTTGTTAGAAACATTCATTTATAAATAAGTATATTGGCGTTTGTATTCCCCTGAAAATTAAAAAACTAAGTAATTCTAAACCCTAACGTTAACTAATTACTTCATCATTATCACGATATGTATTCAGCAGTATGTCAATTTTTGTGTTTAAGCCTAACGAAAGCAAGAAACACGTTTCAATTTTACAATCTACTATAAAAAACTTCAATGCGCTTAGTGAGACTAAATGAGACAACAAAACATACAGTATTGTCACGTAACCTAACCTAACTGTGAGGACACAAAATATCAAAGGCTATCGGTGTGTTTGTTTGTAAATCAGATCGTTGAAACAATGTTTGAGAATGAGAATGTGAGACAAGAATTAATCAGGGCCGGAACATTGTCACAATAAGTTGCACCATAATTTTAACGATATTTTTTGACAATTTACACATTTTGAAGATCTCTGAGTTAAAATCACACGATGAGCTTCAACATATTTAAATTGAATGAGACTGGAAGTGAAAATATATTTAAGGTGAATTGGGGATTGATTTATTCAAATGATTATCTGTTTACTTCTGAATGCACAGGTTCAGTTCAAGCGTTTTGTTGGCAGTAGATCTTACAAAATGTATAAAATTCTACTTTTGCTGGGAAAGCATTTCAACTGACTTTATAATTTTGACACTAATACAGTTAATTTTAAAGCAAATCCACTTGTAATAGCTATGTGAACAGGTTCAAGTTAGGTGCTTTGAAATTTGTATATGAACCTTTCGTCTTTTCAAAATTGACGTACAACTAGCTAATGTGCAGAATAGAGCTCTCTTAGTAACAAATAGTTGCTCTTGGTTACTGATGATTTTGTGAGTCACATAAAAAACAAGTTCTATAACAGAATAGTCTAATTATTGTTTAAATAAAGCTTTCTGATTTTCCTTGTTTTAAGGAGGCGATATTCGTGATTTAAGGCTGAAACCTTTTTATAGGAAAAATAATGTTTGTTTCCACGCCTTAAAGAAACGTTTACTGCAGATTTAGAAATACCAGATTTGTTTGATTTCTATTACATAATTTTACAATTTTATTTACAACTTTCCTGTTTTGTAAGTGATTTCCTTTTACGAATGGCAATTATTTGCTTTTTGTCTTATAGAAGATCTAAATGATGCTGTCAATCTTCAATAAACGTTTGAAAATATTTGACTCAATGTATGGTGATAAGTAAATGTGGAATTGTAGCTTGTAAAAAAGAATATTCAGTTTAGAATAAGTTCCAGTTTTCTCGACCTTCAAAGAATTTTTATAACATAACACTCACCAACGCATAATAAGTAGATTAAGGTCTTCCGTTTCATATAGAAAAATGAGTTATTTTTACTTCGGACTATAATATTTTCATTCCGTCTATTCACCTTAAGATACTGTTTTAAAGGTGTTAGAATTTTCACTGGTTGACCAAGATTTACTCAGTGCAGATTATTGGTTTCATGTAAGTTCATATGTCCTATTTAGAGCCACATATTGTACATGTACAATGATGTAGTTCCTTGATTAAAACATCTGGTTGGTTTGTCAATCTATAGGTCGCTACATGACTGATAATTTTAGATCATTTTGGTTTACAACACAACGATCATAAGCTGTTGTATTATTTCAAATTTTGATTTTCGGCTGTAAAAGTAGGTAACAGAAAACCACAATTGGATTCAACTTACAGACTTTATAGACATTTTATCTTTCCAAATGTAAATATTTGTATCTTGGGTTATATTTTCAGAATCAAATTTCTAATTTATCAACTTTCGGAACATTTAGGCTGGCTACGCACATATTTAAGTATGTCCATTTTAACTACTTGCAAGTAACACAAATACAGTAACCAAAATAGGTTAAGTAGTTGGTCGAGGTCGTGAATCGATCGACGTTAGACCACCATTGAAAACCTATGAGCACTGAACGGCCATTTCGTCCTAGTATGGGACTCATCAGTAGTGCGTATGTACGATCCCGCAGGCGGTACTCAAACACAGAACCTTCGGTCTCTCACGAGAACGCTTACCCTTTAGACTACTGAGCTTTATCAGATTTCGTCAAAGTTAATGAAAGATTGTGTGAAATTATAATCCCATAATCATACAAGTAATATATAAGTGCGTTCTTGAATGATTATCCGGTGTTAAAAACCTGACTACTGCCCTTTACATTTGTTTTCTGAATACAGAAGTCCTTACCAATTAATCACTTTTTCGAGCCTGAATTGAAATGTGATAGCACTATGATGAATCGTGTTTAATCTAAATTTCAGACTCACTAAGGATATATATGCCTTAAATCCTCAAGTGTTATGGCGAATTTTGCTTTCATAATGTGGAAGAAAATTTATTTACGGTATTCTATATTTTAGCTAAAGATGGATGAATTACGGTCTTGTAAAAATTAATTGTTGGACGTTAATTTATCTTCCTAGAAACTTTCCGAAACTCTATATTGACAACTAAATGAGTTTATGCTGGAAATTCAAGTAAACAATTTTAAATAAGATATATGTATGACAAATATTTAGGGATATAAAAATAAGTCTATCAGTGAAATGATTATAAATATCATATATTTGTATATTACCGTTATAGTGTAACTGATGACTAACATGCTAACAGGATCGTACGTTACTGAGTTCTTGATTAATAAATACTTTTTCATTTTTTGTAACAGAAATCATAAGTAAACGTTTTTCCGTTTTTTTCAAAATTTTTTAAATTTTTTCCTGCCTTATTGTTTCCATTTTTACTTTGCTGAATTTTTTTATGCCAAGGTTATTTTTGGCTACTATAAATATATATGTGATGTTATTAAGCTTTAATTTTGTTTTCACTAAATGTGTGATTCCTTTCTGCCTTAGTTTCTGGTTCCATCTTTGTGGATTATTGCTAAAGACTTATGTGCCCCAAAATATAGATGGATAGCTATATTCAATCTGATGTTTATATATTACCACCATTTGTAGTTTGAGGACAAATATATAATCTATCCATTCATAACAAGTGAAACAGAATATTGAATATCTTTGATTCAAAAACGTTAGGTGATTTTAATACTGACAGTTCATTTTATAAACAGATATATCCTAGATTTTGGACACATGAAAGTGATTGAGATAAACAATGTATTTGCCTAACAATAAGCATAATAATAACAATAGTAATAATGGCAATAATAATAGTGTGTTGACATAGGGAAAACAAATTTTGAGCACGAAATTTGATAAAATCCTATAGGGAATATAATGCCGATAGATGAATAAGAAAAGGGCTTCTAGCTTTCTAATCCAATTTGATATGTTGACGATAATTTTGCTATTAATAAATTTTGTTTGTTTTGTGGTGAATGAATGAATGTTTTTTTAAATGGAATATTTATC